GAAAATAAAACTAACCATGAGCTAAATACAATTTATCAGTTTTTATACCAACCCAGTATACAGAAAAAGCCACATCTATATGTGTGTGAGTGTGAGTGTGTGTGTGTGTGTGTGTGTGTGAGAGAGAGAGAGAGAGAGAGAAACTGGAGAGCATTGCTCATACAGATAACCAGGAGACCCAAGTACTAATCTCAGTATGAAATGTTTGGTAAAAATTTATCTTCATACCCGATTCAAACCATGTTTGAAACTTGGTTTGCAATATTTGCAAACCTACTGAATTATAACACATACGTTTACATTGTGAATTGTTCCATCAAGGCCCCTTGTGTCTTCCAGCACTGTATCCATGGACTGTAGCCTGCAATAAAAGGCAAATCAGAAGCCATTGAGTGCAAAGTGGAAACAAAACTGCTTAGAAGTGACGTTTATACATCCAGTCCCCACTTTACTCATACAGTGGGCCCGGACTAGGGCTGTTTTCCTAAAACAAAGACTCTGTAATCTAAATATGATTTCACTGTTACTTGTGCAATATGTCATAGGGTCTTTCACCTCTAATCCAAAAAGCAAGATATGAATGTTTCAGATAAAATATCAGAGGTAATGTAATTGGAGGCCTCTGATGAATACAGGATCTGCAATTCAAGGTACAACATGATGGATTGTACATAACTGGGAAATTACATATACTTAAAACCGAAGCACTGCCTTACTCAAACTGTTTTGGAAAGCTGCAAATAGCACAGGAGAAGAAAGCACAGGCAGTACCATCCGTTTTTTTGCTGCTTATAACTTTCAGCTTATAACATGTAAAAACATTCCAGCAATAGTGAGATAAGAGAGATTTTGAACCCATGTTCCAGAGAAAAGGGGTGCAAAGGAAGTGTTAATGGTGCTTTTTGGACAGACAGGAAAAAATTAGTACCTCTGTATCTGATGAATGCAAAAAGCATTCAGTTTACTGTTCAGTTTGTTGGATTGTTTAGTCCAAAATTCCTGTAACAAATTTTCTTCATGTGAGTCAGATGATGAAGCATTTAATTGGTTAACAAACAATGGAGAGAGGATAACCATACATACCACAGTATCCTTCTCAAGGCTTGAGAGAAACTCTGTTCTCTGCTCAAGATTGGCAAGTTCTTTAACAACAATCTTGTGGAAGGTTTCCAATTCATGCAATCTGTAGCAGATACACCAAAGATAGTTATTTCATTAGCAAAATGAATTTTGATATTGCTATATACTCGTGCAAAATATAAATGCCATTATCCATTTCACCAGTTTCTGCCAAGTGTCTTATAAGGTAATTTTGCATTGCTTGGTTTGGAAATCAATTGGTGAGGAAACCAATCTAGCATACATGGCATCTAATAAATTGTTTGTGAATCATAATCTTGGGAGATTTGGTTTCCTTTGAAGCTTTTTATTGTGGAAACCTTCCTAAAACTAGCAACGCTGGATAGCTTTCCCTAAAGGATTGCTTGTCATAATTACCTATTTTTCTTTACAACATATAATCTAAGAGCATTGTTGTACACATTCTAGCTTGATGCTCAGTTCACACAAGGCAACAGCAAAGCATAAATGAGCCTGACCATTGTATAGAGTAAAGAGAATACTGTATACATCTGGAACGTCCTCTATAAACTTCCTCTGCAAACTGGACAGTGAAGAAATAAAAACCTGAATACTTTCAGCATTCAACAACTAGAGGTCTACTCTAAGCATAAAGCAGTTATATAAAAGGTAATGATGTATTTTTCCTTCTATAATGACCATTGAAAAGTACCTCCAGAAAAACTTCATAAAAATAGAAATAATTTCTAAGGATAAATGTAAGCACTACCGTGGTTTGCCTGTCTTCTGATATCAACTGGCCTGTGCTAAAATCTTCACTGAAACCCTGCTCCGGGTTCTTCTTTAAGCAGAAGTATTTATTTAAATAAGATGGTCTCCATGGTTATGTAATCTTCTCTCAAAAGAATGTTAAAGTCCCTGGCACCTCCATTAGAATTTTTTAACCCTAAGGCATGCATCTTTATTTTCTCAACCCTTTCAAAACTCTTGTCCATTTGAATCTTTGACAAATTTACCTAGGCTTATGTTGCTGTTATTAATTATGCTATGAATAATTGATCACATGCTAGCCTGTAATTTTAATAGAATGAAAAGGCCGTAGGGAAATGCTCAGTAGATCAGCCTTGACTGAACTGGGAAGCAGATTATGGGACCGACTCTGCCTATTTCAATTTAATGTGGAAACACATGAAGCACTGGAGGGATGTTGGTTGACAGTGCTGAAAGCAAGATATACACGCAACATGGATAGGAAGATAAAGCACCACCTTCTATGGTCAAAATGTTAGATTCGTATTTTCCTGTCTAACACACCATGTCAGTTGGTTTAACTAATTGTTTATGGTGGCGCTTCAAATGCAAGACACATAATGGAAGAATAGTCTTGGGCTGAAATATGGAAAGAAAGCAGTTTATACATTACACTGCTTTGCCCCTGCT